AAGTTAATTATGATAATTAGTAATTTTTTATATGTAAAAGTTATTGTAATAAATAATAAATTTTATTATATTTAGTAATGTATTACTATTGTGATAGTTAATAATTTTTTTATCAAATTAATCGCATTAATATACTTTTTTATTTATTAATATAATAAAATTTTTGTTTTAAATTATAATAATCATTATAATTAACCGCTAATCGGTGACAATTATATAACTTTAGAGATAAGCTGCGGAGAGAGGATTCCGACGGTAGAGACGTTCCTACTCAGCTTATGCATTTGGCCGTGAGCAGCCAGTATACAGTTTATGTAGAATCCGATCCGAACACGAAAGTGCTGACGCATATATTCATGGCCCATCCTGCGTCGATTAATCTATTCCGGACATATCACTGGTATGTCGGTATAGATTCCACGTATAAAACCAACAGGTATGTTACTTTATAAATACTTTATTAGTATGAATCTTAAATAGTGTGTTTGATTAAGTTAAGTTTTATGTGCTTATATTTTTTGTCTTCTTGGTTACATTTGCACAGGTACAAGATGCCGTTTGTCGAGATGATTGGGATGACGCCGTGCAACCAGAACTTCCTGATTGCGTATGCCCTCATCAGGGACGAGAAAGAGACCAGCTACGACTGGGTTCTAGAGAAGTTGAGACTACTGATAGGCCAAAGCGTATATCCTTATGTTGTTGTCAGTGACAGAGAGTTGGGTCTACTCACTCCTATTCAGAGGCATTTTCCTGAATCAGCCCACTTACTCTGCACGTGGTACATCAACAAGGATGTGGAAGCCAGAACCTACCACCTATTTGGAAAGAATAAAAAATTCTCGGAGATTTTCACGCACAGTACGTGGAAGGCGATTGCAGAGGCCAGTACGTTCGATGCCTACAACGATGCCGTTGCCGAGCTGCGCGCAAAATATTCGAACAACAAAGAGGTGCTACGGTATGTGGAGGGCACATGGTTAGTGCACCGCGAGAAGTTTGTGAAGGCTTGGACGAACCGATTGAGACATTTTGGAAACACAACTTCCTGTAGGGTGGAGAGTGCCCACTCTGCGTTGAAGGAGTGGCTTCAGACGTCCACCGGCGCTCTTGATACGGTTTGGCAGAAGGTTAATAAGCATATCGATAATCAAGTGACTGAAATCAAGTACGTACTGCAATTTTTAAATGCGTTATTATATTACTGCATTAATTAATTATAATCTAACGTTATGTAACGTATTATCAGGACTGCGCTTGAGGCCTCGAGATCTAAGAAGAATACACGGTATAAGGGAATCCGTTTCGGGAGCGTGATACTCAGGGTCTCGCATTACTGTCTGAGTTTATTGGACGCTGAGCTTACGAGGATGCGCAAGTTGGACACCGATGTTTACACTAGTTGCGGTTGTGTATTGCAGCTCACTCATGGACTTCCTTGTGCCTGTCTCCTCCGTAGCGCAGAAGATTTCGACGCTCCGATTGATCTCGGGATGATTCACCAGTTCTGGAGAACGCTCGAGATATTAGAGCCAGGTAATTTAAGATTAATGTTTTATTTATAATTTTCTATTAAAATACATTATTTGTTTTAATTCATTGACTTTTTTATCGTATACTTGTAGGGACTGGTCATCCGAGCCAGGCGAGCAACGCTGCATGGTCAGATGCG